GGGGGGGAGGTGAGGCAGCCCCCTCATTATTCGGGCTGCGCCGCTGTGAAAAGCCCTGGGATTGCTTTCATTACTGGGCCAAATGAAATAGCAGAGGCTGATTACTCGCGTGACGGAAAGGAGACGAGCTGGATCACTCTTTGTTGGGGAGAAAAAGTGAAGGAAGAGAGAAAAAAAAAGATGGGTGGGGTGGAGGGGGCGGGGGGTTGAGAGAGGGAGACACTGTCATGGCTTCCCCAACAAGACTCCAAAACAAGCTGAGTGTTTGTGAAAGTCAGACGATGACACGCGGGGTGGGGGCTGAGACAGTCCCATTTCTCAAACAAGCCTCCCTGGGGAGGGATATGAATAATAATGACAGCAGCAGTGCAGCACGTTCAAAATCAAACCACTATTCGCTCGTTTTCCTCCAGCTTTTGTCTACAGCTCTTAGCTGAACTTCCTCTTTTACCCCATTTGCATCAAGCCTAGGCTTCCACCCTGAGTGTACTCTGTGTTTGGGACAAATCAACTCTTTTTAAATCGTCTCAATTATTCTGTGCGTAAACTGTGGAGTGTGTGTTTTTGTGTAGCTGTCAGGAGAGTCGGAGCATGATGGATCTGGTGAGGCGCTGTAGATTATCTGCTGACGGCAGCTGGTAATCCACCAGATAAGCTTAAAGGAATGAACACCTGTGAAAGTCGCAGCGATGCCAGATATTATTTTAGGGAATCCCCTGCCTCATAAAATTTAGGCGCAAATTCACACCACACAACAATAAACTGATTCAACAGACACATGGGACATTTTGATATGTCACAGTTGGGAGAACACATATGTAAACATAAGAAGCTAATCCTGAATGAGGGCTGTTTTAGTTTTCAGCGTCCAGCTGCTGCTCATGTAATGTTAATAGACTGAAAACTAAATTTAAATGAGGAGAATTGACTTAAAGTTTGGATATTTTGAAGCGGGGATCTTGATTGTGAACGACTATTAGTGTAGAGATTTGTGAGGATTGGAGAACTTGTAAACAACTGGTTCATTTAACTGTAGTTAAACGCTCCAGCTCCTGCTGCCACTATTTACTGTTGAGTTAAATACAGTTACACAGAACTTTATACAAATACTCCAAACTTAACCACTGTGTAAATGTTCGTAAAATAATGTTTGTTCAAACTGCTGTTAACGTTTTTCAGATTGGAGTTGTTTTAAAACAGCATCGATCTACTTTGGTCTCTCTTAATCACAATCAAATCTTTCTTTCAAAATTAAAGTCATTAAAAAAAACCACGTGTAACAGGTGAGGTCATAATTAATCATAACTTAACATAGAACCATGGTTTAAAATATCTAAAATAATTGCACTTTTTGCCAACTAAAAAGGGCTCAGAGTTGACAGAGCAAGTCTCTTTGCTTTTGATTTTAAATAAATCAATTGTTCAAACATTAAATATTAACATTTCAAACCCTGTTTACACATCAGCAATCTCTGGAAACCTTACAGTTTTATCTAATATTGATTGTGTCGAAATATATATATAAAAAATCTCATTTACACAGGGACTGCTGGGCCCGCTGCATCCGCTGTAGTTTCCACATCTGGCAGGGTTGCCAGAAAGAAAATGACAAACTATCTGTGATTTTAAAGTAATTGTATTTTGACCCAAGCTATCATGTGTGTTGTGTGTTGATTGAGTTATACACAGATAAAGAGGGGGGCGCTTGAGSCTGAACGGTCTTTATCGTACATCTGGCAACACCGATGCCAGGTGACTTTTGTCTTACAACGAGACGTGCTGCAGACTGACGTGTCTCTGCTGTGTCTTCTTTGTAGACGCCCCTCTGATGGATGCGTCTTCTTACAGCTGCTTGGCTGGCAGGGATTTAAAAGGTGGAAGCTCCACCTGCCTGGGGAGGGGGTTCAGAGGAAAGAAGCTGGTCCAGTAGTCGTGTGCTCTGCTCTCCAGCCTCGCTACTGCTCTTGATGCTTGTGGAAGCCCGTGGTTTCGCCCTGTCACACTGTTAAGTTAATTGTTGTTGAGGGCTGGGAGATTCAGGCAGCCACTTTTTTTAAGTTTTTGGTTTTAGTGCTTAGATTCTGGACGGGTGAGGGAAGTGGCCTAGCCTGGTTAAAACCAGACCCTTGTTCTTCACTTTGCATCGTATGAGGGTCTGGACTCGCGGTCATAGAGAAGCGATTCCTGCAGGAGGCGTGGCCTCTGCTGAAGTGTGTGTGTGTCGCTGTGAAGGAGGCTAAGCTAAGAAGCTAACCAGAAATTGCGTGTGCCGTAAACAACCCTACTGAGAGGAGAAATRTACCTAGCCAAACGACACGACTGTAAATGAGAGCTGCTGCTTTGTCAGACAAATTTAATTTAATTTGGAAGCCTTATCAACACAGACTGGCTTCATTCACTTCCTCCACTGCTTATGCTAACTAAGGCCCACTGATTGGTCCGGCTAAAAATCTGCCAGCAAAATCCTTGTCTATGGGAGAAGTCCCAGACGAATCAGTGAAGGGAAACTAGAATTGAGCGGAGCTGCGTAGGAAGGCAAGGGCCAGGCTACAATTCCTCATATCATGTTTTTTGTGTTCCTAAAAATGAAGAGTAAATTTTCAAGCTTCCTTTTCTGAAAAAATGATACTACAT